CCCCAAAATTAAACATCGTTCCCGAAACTGACAAACAGCCTCCACACCCAAATTCCGCACAAAGCCTATCACCAGGTTGTGTTTTGGAAACTGTGCGGGGAAGTACGACGAAATTGCCTGCCGCGAAAAGTGATTAGAACACGGCCCGGTACTGCCAAGGCTTATTGCGGAAACGTGTAAAACATGAGAAAAGCTGAGATCAGCAACGGACTGGTTTTGGAAAAGGAGAAATCAAAAGGGCAGGGAAGCGAGAGGGAGAGAGAGAGAGAGAGAGAGAGAGAGAGAGAGAGAGAGAGAGGGCAGGGATTTTTAGTGAGTTTTACTAATTCAGTTAGTGCATCGATGTCGTAAGAGTGATTGACCTGAACTGTCCAAAGACACGATCGACAAGTCCGCGCCCAGCTGGCCCGAAGTGTGCTGGTTTTGCAGACCCCAGACTGGACCCCGGGCTGTCAGCTGGCTTCGAAAGGGGCTTGACCTCTTAGTCTCATTTTAGTCTTTCCGGTAAAATTTTATGACCCGAGCCCTCCTCGAGCTCAAAATAGAACATTTCAGAACTGATTTCGGGTTATCAACACTACTGGATCTGAATTGAGCTTCAAAACAGACTGTAGCCCTTTGCCACACTTCTAAACCCCTTAACATCAAAACAGCTAAAAAAAGACGCATCCAAAATTGTTTTCGCGTCGAGCAAAAAAAGTGCTATCACGTAGGCAACGGACAGCGAGGTCGCAACCCGGAAGCACTAGCGACAGAAATCAAAGAAGAAGCGAGAAATTCCCCAAGGGCAAATTAGAGGACAGAGAGCAGAAGAGAAAAAGTCCGAAAACTAGATGCTGATCTTCAACCGTTCAAAAAGTGAGCTAAATTAAGGAGAAAAGCATAAATGCACGATTATTAGAGCCAGCTTCGTGAAGGCAGTAGAATAAATAGCTTTGGAGGTTATTTCTGTCATCGAATACTCAAATACTGCCAAAAATCAATTTTCTAAATGGACCCGCAAGTCTCGTTGGTGTGTTGCCATTTCATAAGCCTGAGATCCCTATGGGGGTGTGGGTTCAGACCGGAGGGCCCTCGGCGGCTGGCCTTACACGGTGACGTCTACACGTTTCTCTCTCACTCTCGTTCCCTCTCTCACTCCCTCGCTCTCTCTCACTTTCTCGCCTGTTGCCACGGCCCTTTTTCTCAATGCCCTCGAGCGTTTTCCAAGAAGCCCGACATTCAGAAGAGGGGCGGGCCCCCGCCCCACTTCTACCTCTCGGCCCCTGGCACCCCCGAGACGAGGAACTGCTTACATAAACCGGGTTACGGTAGCCTGTGAGTGTGACTCAAGGGAGGAGGGAATCGCGGAAATTGAATAGCTCTTGATAGGGCCTATTATTGACCTAAAAAAAAGTTGATTCGTGTAAAATGGCAGGGAGGATAAACCCGGAACTAGCTTTAGCCAGATTAGAGCAGAGTTTCAACGCGTAGACCAGCTAAAAGTCCAATAAAGTTCGTATAAAACGATTCCTGCAACGAATTCAATATCTGTGGAACATTTCGGGGTGCAAAAGCCGGGCTATTCAATCTACGCTTCACTACTCTATGATGAGTTTCAGCGTGGAGGGAACCGGAACTTCGGACCTTATTACCAATTTTAGTGATTTAGCTTTATATGAAGCTCTCAAAGCATGCCAAGCCTGACGTACAGTCTTAGGCGACTTTCAAGCTCAAAATCTTGCTCGTCTTTGAAGTTCTAAGACTTCAAAACACGACAATTTTTACGTCCAAGATATCTGTTAAACCGATTGTGTTATTTCCGGCCAAAACTCAAAACAATTTTTGAAGATTTACGCAAAGTGGGACTCCGGTTAGGCCCTCCCTACATCATAATTCTGACGTGAAGCGTGGTATTTGGGAAAAGGGCGCCTGGAGCGGGTGAGTAGAGATGGTGATGAGAGGGAGAGTGAAGCCCCCAAATAGGGGGATATTGAGATGGGTGTAATCAGGATTTTTGTGGAACAAAATGGATAACGTCAAGCGGGGTAAAGAGAGAGAACGAGCGAGAGAGCGGAAAAAGAGGATCGATAGGAAGCGAGAGAGAGAGAAAGAGAGAGAGAGAGAGAGAGAGAGAGAGAGAGAGAGAGAGAGAGAGAGAGAGAGAGAGAGAGAGAGAGAGAGAGAGAGAGAGAGAGAGGGATATAACAAGACAAAAATCGTGCAGGTGAGGTTCAGTTTAACAAGTTAAAACTGGCTTCAATCCAAAAGGAAGAACTACACCTTCAACTAGCACAACGACTACTACGAATCTCCGGAAGCGCGACCCCAGCAAAACAGGCTATTTCCAGACACCTACTCGACTTGGGAAATACAGCAGAGGGAGGCGGTACGGTACGAAAAACGGGAGAACAAACAGAATGTGGCCCCTAGGTGGGACCCGGGCCGGGATCCTTCCGGAAGTGAGGCCCCCGGAGGGGTCTCGACCCCACTCTGCACTGTTTTGGGACAAAGAGGCCCGGTGTTTGGCCCAGGGCCTACGGGGGTTACGGTCCGATTACGAAATGTTGTGTGGGAGGGTACGAAACTAGCTGGGATGAGAATTGAGAGAGCGGCTTCGATTTGGCTAACTGCGATTAGGTATCGGCTTCAAGCAGATGACAAGCTAACGGAGATCCTTTGAAAACTAGCCTTGTTCCGAGAAACTACAAAGCGTCAACCGGAAAGTTGTCTACAAAAACGTAATAGATTCTGATTAGCTAATAGCTTCCGGTAGGAGGCATGCTTGTCGGGATCATTCGAGATCGCCCAATGTTGAGAGTAAAAGGCCCTCTAGCGCAGATCCTGAGGATTCCATGACATACGTCTAGCTAAGTATCTGCAATGCAAAATGTATCAGACCTTCTAGCAATAATTTTCGATGAATCGCAAAAAACTCGAATCAGCTAGATGATGTGTCGATCTGGAGTCACGACACGCGCGTCCGGACACGCGAGTCGATGCGGAAAGAGAGAGAGAGAGAGAGAGAGAGAGAGAGAGAGAGAGAGAGAGTGAGAGAGCGAGAGAGAGAGAGCAACTGGACTATAGAAAGCTGGCTCCATAGGTGACGAAATTGTGTATACATCGATGGGGCCCTCCGCTCATACAATAGCTTTGTCACGACGATCATCCGACCTGGACACATCAGCCCGGAAAGCTAACAGATGGGTTGCGAAAATAAGGATTGGGATTAGGCAATCAAAACATGTTTTTTAGGTTCCGAAAAAATACGCTTTCCGTAATCTGTTTTTCTTGTATCTTTTCGAGCATTAGTTTCTGATCCAAAATAGAAAAAAAACTCCAAAAACCGGAAGTCGAACATCCGTGATCAAAACTCAGAAAAGATTCTGATTCGATAACACGCAAGCCGTACTTTTGACTCTAGACCCGCATTTTTTTCGTTTGTCTTCCAAACCACGACGTCGAAACTTCCGTATCGAACGTGCGAGAATGAAATCCTGGGGTTTCACTCCACTCTCTCTCTCTCTCTCTCTCTCTCTTTCTCTCTCTCATGCTCTCTCGCTCTCTTCCTCTGGAATTAGGACAAGGGCCCGGCCACAAATTGGATCCTCGCCAAGTTCAGATACTTTTTCCCTCCCGGGCAGAGCGGAGTTTGAGATTGGCGGCGCCGGTGGGATGGGATTGGAAAATAAAAATAGCTGCTTTTGAGGAAGTCTGGTGAGGTTGAATTGCGGTGGAACAACTTGGAGTATGTGCATTTTTGGGCTATCGATAAACATGAAATGGATCAGATAGATATGGAAAAGATAAAATAAAACAAACTTGGAAAATGGCAATTCAGGCGCCAAAAAGCAGAAAATGTCGTAAAACCGCGAATTTAAGGCTCTTTCTCTCTAACAGAACGAAAAATTATCATGTTACAATTACAACACAATAAAAAAAATTGTGCTAATTAACGGCCCCGGTAATTGTCTAAATCTAGAATTTCGCATAAGGGAACTCCAAGAAATTCCGGTTCTACCCTGAACCCTGGTTTTCCTACGATTTGTTATTTAAAATTACAAAAGAGAAATTATTAGCACTGAAATCATACAAAAACAGACTAATTATAATTACCGATACCCTACCCTAAAAGCCTCGTGAGTAAAAAGACGTGTCGGCACAAAACCGTCTCCCCACCGCGTACAAGACAGGCCCTTCGCTAGCTGGTATTGGGCTTCGGCCTCTCTCTCCCTCTCTCTCTCTCTCCCTCTCTCTCTCTCGCTCTCTCTACAAAAGACTCCCGTTCGGCTCCTGTGCACACTCCACCATTTTGCCGGGTCCTTACCGGCCACCCGGACTGTTGGGGTGGGGGTGGTGTGACGGTGGCCGAGGCTTCGTCCCCCACCCGTTCACCAAATATTTGCCACCCACCAACCCCAGACAGCGCCAACCCCTACGGCCACCCACAATCCAGCCATCAACGCCCGAAGAGCCAGCCGATTTTCGCGCATTTTGGACTGTGGTGTCAAAAACGAGAGAGAGAGAGAGAGAGAGAGAGAGAGAGAGAGAGAGAGGGAGAGGGAGGGAGGGAGGGAGAGGGAGAGATATGAAGGTGGAGGCAGCAATAAACGGAAGGTTTAACGATTGCCATCTCGGAGGTAAATTCATGAAAGTATAGAACAAAAGCATGTAAAACGCAACCACAATAACTTTTTTGAATGTTTTGCAAATTGCATAAAACGATCTGGAGCAAAAACTCCTAATTAAACTGGTGGACTGCTTGGCTTGTATCAAGAAGTGATGGGGAAAAATTCGTCCAATTCAGTTAGTTACGGTATTCAAAGTTAGCATCCCATATTGCAATATCGATTGGCATCTCAAAATTTGCAACTACGTCCGCGGAAAAAATGAAAAATGCAACAATCACTTCTAACTACTCGCGGGCCATGCTCCGGTCGGCCCTTTTCCTGCTGCTCCTCGGCGCCACCGCCCTGGCCGCACCCATCAATGGCAATTTCAGAATTGGCTTTTAATCGTATATGCTAATTTTTGTAGGCACTGTTCCGACGATCGCCAATCAGACGGTTGCCAACAGCACGCTCGGCAATCAGACGTCCGGAAACCATACGCCCCGGACCCAGAACGCGGACCAGCAACAGCCGCCCACGACGCCCATGGGATACTACGACCAGGCTACCCACCCGGAGTTGGTTTTTGAGATAAGCTACGCAAGAGAAGCTTGATGATGAAGCCACAAAGCCTAAGCGTCAGCGTAAGCCTTAACCTCAGCATAAACCTAAACCCAAGCCTAAGACTAAGCCCGTTCCAGCAATCGCTTCACCGTCCTGATGAGCGCCGCCGCGCTCCTCGTCGGCCTCATCGCGCTCGGCATCGGCTGCGCGCTGGTGTGCCGCGCGGGAGCGGTGAAGGAAGTTGGTGCCCCGGTCAGGAAGCTGAAGAGCAAGAAGAAGCGCAAGAGGAGCAAGAGCGACAAGAGCAGCAAGAAGAGCAGCAAAAAGAGCAGCAAGAAAAGTAGTAAGAGAAGCAGCAAGAAGGGCAGCGATAAGCCGGGGAAGAAGAGCAGCAAGAGGAAGGGGAAGGATAAGGTATTGTACACTAAGCCGAAGCCTAAGCCTACGCCTAAGCCTAAGCCTAAGCCTAATCCTAAGCATAAGCCTAAGCCTAAGCCCAAGCCAACCTAAGCGTAAGCCTAAGCCTAAGCCTAAGCCCAAGCCTAAGCCTAAGCCTAAGCCTAAGCCTAAGCCTAATCCTAAGCATAAGCCTAAGCCTAAGCCTAAGCCCAAGCGAACCTAAGCGTAAGCCTAAGCCTAAGCCTAAGCCTAAGCCCAAGCCTAAGCCTAAGCCTAAGCCTAAGCCTAAGCCTAAGCCTAAGCCTAAGCCTAAGCCTAATCCTAAGCATAAGCCTAAGCCTAAGCCTAAGCCCAAGCCAACCTAAGCCTAAGCCTAAGCCTAAGCCTAAGCCTCAGCCTCAGCCTAAGCCTTAGACAGGACGGCTCAACGATCCTTTTTCAGCCAAGGGCCAAGACAGACGAGCAGGAGATGACCGAGGGCGAAGAGTCGAACGCCCCCTAGAAGCATCAACCATTCGTCTACTCCCACTCGACTCGTCTCGTCTAAAGCCCAACCAAATCCGCTACCTCAAATATGTACCGTTGTCGTCTCTAGCGAATAAATGGCTTTGGCAGCGGGTTGAAGACGTTCAAAACGCGTGAATTTGTTGATTGTAATAATTTGGTTCTTTCAAAACAGTATATCTTTTCTACGCGAACTTCGCCGTGCGTGCGCCCTGCATGCCCTCTGCACGCGCCCCACTCGCCCCTCACCCGGGCGCCTCTGTCCCCACAAGTGCGCGCCTTTCCCTACAGCAATACCTCTGGTTCGTGTGCATTTGACCGAGAAAATCTTTCGCCTTTTACTAAAGATTTCCGTGCACACGAACAATTATGAGTATAATCTAATTTTTGGAGCCCCCTCGAGAGAGCGGGGCAAAAATGACAAAAACCGAGTTCTACAACAGCCAGTTCTACTTACTTTCATTACAGCACGCGTTTCCGGATACGAAATAGCTTACGTTTGGCCCGAAGCTCTTTCGTCAGGGGTGTAGGCTGGATGCTGGCTCCAGGAATGCTTCTAGCAAATGGCGCGACACGAACGGTGCTGATCTCGATCCCGTGCAGTTGTGAAGAGCGTCAGAGATTCAGAGTTTTGCTTTGTATCGAATTTTGAGATTCCGAACTTTAGAGACCTCCAAGTGTGTCTAGGACAGATTTTGGAAAGTATAGCTCTCCGCAGCCGAACGAACGAACTTGTAGAAGACATCCTCGTACCCTTCCAGGTCGTAGCTTGGCTCGATGCGCTTCTCTTTTATTAGCATTTTGGCTTAGCAAACCGTTTACAAGGTGAGCCTATCTTGTGCAGAATTTTCCACAGTTTCAGACCCTGCTATCAATTTTCATTGAATCGGCTGTTTCAAAAATTGCGCCTGTTTCTTCAGTTAATGACGAGACCCCTGAAAAGTAATTTGTCATAACACAGTGTATTTTTCTAGTGAAATAAAGCACTCTCTGAAGTGTTGAGGATTTTCGTTGCCTCACTTTCGGCCCCGAAGTGCATGATCATGTGCTGTGCCTGCTTATTTCCACAAAAAAAAACATAAAAACCCTTTACTAGCGGGATGTACATCGGAACGGCGCACAGCGGTAGAGAACATAATTGGAAAACGGAACACACAACATATGGCCGAATAAAAACGAGGCATAAACTTGGCATTCGTGATGGCTTTCCTTGATGAAGCGACTTTTCTGAAGGCATGACGTCTAGTACTTGCACAGCTGCTGCTGGTGGATGTGTCTAGTGATGTGGTCTGCACCTGGAAGTTCTCGTTTTATTGAGGGTTTTTTGAGGAATTGGTCACCTGAGAATTTTTCCTTGTTTTCCCAAATATCCCACGCGGCTTATTGAAATCAAATTTGGTGACCGGATAGGCAAAAATAGCGGTTTTTAGGAAGTGATACCAACGTGAGCTAATGGAATTTTTTGGGGATTGGTTTTTGAGGTACAGGGCGTAGCAGCTTATAGAAGTGGGCTATAATATCGGGGAACACTGGTTGGTATCCGCATTAAAATGATGTTTTTTGGTCGTATTTTATCTTCTCAAACTATCGTATGCAAAAAGTTGTGCACTACGCTACGTTACAAATTTCTACGATTTTTGAAGCACCCGATTTTACGTGGCTTAATAAGGAAAATAAAAGTAGAAACCGGAAAAAAGTGTCTAGATAAAAATAAAATGTAGCACTTTTGATTCTTTCGTAAATTTTGAATTTTCAAAAGATCTTGATGACTTTAAAAAACGCTGGAAACCGGTCGACAGTCGATTTTCCGGGATATGCAAGCTGGATACTACTCCATGAAGCTTCGAAACCTCAAAAACAGATATGATACCTATGGTAGGTCGGCCTAACTACTCCAAATAACAAGTGTTAATTTTTTTGAGGCCTTCTTAAGCTCAATTCCCCAAGCCCTACATTTTTCAGCTTGCATGCATCGCCTACCTTAATTACCCCAAAAAATCGTGTCCTGAGTATTGGCGCGTACTTGGAAGTGGCGATTCGTCACCTGTGAGGGGGGCGGTGTAAATTAACCAGGCCACCCCCTTTCCTGAGACGGCACAAATCTTCCACAAATTGAATATTTACGCAAATCAGAGTCGGGGGTCTCCCCCACAACCTCTGAATGTGGGTGTCGATTAGCCGATGTATTTATTAGGCAGCGGGAAAAGCCCTGGGGAGGTGGGTTGTACGAAAATGCGTAGTGGGGCTAGGGGAGTTTGACTTTTGGACTTTGGGGTCCGGGTATGCGATTGCAGGATTTTACAGGCTGACTCGTATCAAGTTTGACGTGAACCGTTCTCTTGCATTATCGGGGGGGAGGGGCGAAAACTTCTAACAAGTTTACACCTGAAGTTGAAGAAGCAGACAATTCGGATTTCCTTGCCAGGTTGGGTTACCGTACCAGGCATAGCTCAGTCATAAGGAAACCACTCAATAATGCAAAAGATCCGGGCAAACATGAACAATTTTGATTACGAAAGCGAAAACCGCGGAAGTAGAATTGTTAAAATGTTGAAAACAACGCAAAATAGCAATTACTATTTCTATTGGCGATTAAAGTAAAATCATATGTTCACCAGGATTTACAAAGTTTTGCCGAACCCTAAAAGTGCAGGCCAACAGTCTAGACAATTTTCTCGAACTACTTTAAATTGAAAAATATTATAAAAGCGATACCGTATGGTGCCAAATATCATGATTCTCCTGGTTCATTATTTTTCTGAACAGCGGAACATCTTGTGCTCACCCATCAGCGTGGTCAGCTCAAAAGTGCAGCGTCAATTCATGATGAAAAATAATTTTAGGATTCTGAATACATCCTAACAAGAATTATACCAAATTGTGTTCGAGCGTCAACTTGTCTGAAACAGCAAAACAGGCCGAAAAGAAAATGAAAAAATTCACCTAGAGTACTTTACTACGGCAGATAAAAATCCCTAGTTTAAAATGTCCGCCGGTCTATGGGAAATCTATAATCTAAAACTACAGAAGCATACCTTACCCGTTCCTTTAAAGTGATCGTTACAGGCAATCCCACTTTTTGCGGAATTTTCGAAAAATGTGAAAGAAAAACCCACTACTTTCGACCCCAAAACCGGCTTGAAATGTGTAGATTCGGCCTCATCGCTTTGGCCGTCCGTTCGTAGTAATCGGCGGAGGGGATCAGCCAAATCGGTGCCTGCAAAAGTTATTTTAAAGAAATTTTCCACGTGTCTGCCAAGCTTTTTTGACCTTTCCAGCCATAGTTTCACCCCTAGAAACAATTCGCCCCACAATCCGCTTAAAAATTCACACGCGCTTTCTTAAAAATTCAATTCCACGCGACGCCTACTTACTCGAAAATGCCCTTCCCAGAAGCAATTTGGTTCGAAATTTTCCCCCGCATCCGGTCAGGTGGAAATTTGCAAGGGTTTTAGTTAGTCTCGTATTGCTCTGTTTTGCTGGCGGATCAGGTCTCTTAAACATCCCCCCGGATGAACGTCATTACCGGTAAAAGCGGAAAAATGCAACCCCGGGGAGAACGTTATTGGGGTGTGGTCGTCTGGAAAATGGCCCGATTTTTTGGGGATTTGGGGAGACGATGTTCTAACGTTGTTCGTAAGGTTCAATATGGGGTTCAGGTTGGCTACATGTACACTGCCATGAAAATCCGGAAAACTAAAACATGTTAACTATGAAAAACGTTTCAAGCGTAAGGCCAATTTTTCTAAATCTTCGCAAAATCGAGTTTTTAGCATTGGCATTTTGTTAACTTCTTTAGAAGAGTTTCTAAACGTTCAAAACCGCAATTTGAATTTTGCAATTTTTGAAATTTTTCAACGCTCTTCAGATTTTTACAACTGTAAAACTTCAATGTCTTACTAAGATTCAAGATTCGTGTTGAGGGGTCCATTAGATAAAACTGAAAATAGCTATGTATTTTCTAAGCTTCTAGAACTGCTGAAAGTATTTTTTGCACGTTACTAATGCCTTCGCTAAAATTAAAATAAAAAATTGCTGAAGCTTTCATGTTTAAACAAATTACATACAAATGTTTGCCACGCATTAAGTGCTTTTTAGAATTTTCCAAATTCTAGCTGGCTATCTAAAAACCGACCTGCATCTAGCTCTAAAGGACAATGCAAATTAGCCCAAACCGTCGTGCATTATTCTTGTTATCACTGCAAAAATTCCCAAAGCAAAACTCGGCACACCATGCACAAAAAATCCAGTCGCTCATTTGCATTTTCTCGGAATTTCCTTGCTTTTCAGCGTTTATTTTTGTTTCTCAACAACAATGCACAGCAGTAGCGACGAAAAGGGAAGGGTTTGCAATTGGGGGAAGCCCAAGCCCGGAAAAACTGAAGGGGAGTCGAACTCAGGAACGCACTTCGGCAGAAGACAGCTGCTGCTGCTGTTGCTCCAAATTGGCCGCATCCCCGTCGCTTTCTGGTGTCTGGAAAAAGTTGGAGGTCGTTGCTTAATTGAAAGCGTTCAAAAAGTAAAGAGTAAAGACCCGGAAAGGCCCGGAAAAGTTCGAAAAAGTTTGCTTTTCTCGAGTTTTTCGTTCTTTTTTGTGTGGTAAATATCCCGCAAACTCCCAAAATCTGCGTTTTTATGAATTTTCTACCGTAATTGGCAGGCTTAAGGCGAATTTTCGAGTTTTAAAAAATATTTCCTCTTATTTTCTACTTTTAAAATGTTGTCGCGTACCTAAACACCCGAAAAATTCGAATTCAGCCCTCCGCCGGCCTGGCGCGAATTAAGTCATTCTCTCGTAATTCTAGCTCACTTTCCTCGCGCTCACTTAATTTGCATAATTTCGCCTTTGGGATCTCTGGAAAGTCGACCGAGTAGCCGGTTGACATTTACATTATAGCGTTTTTTGGGAGCTTTTTTGGCGCTATTTCAGTTTGAAGCGAAATTTTAGATGCATGGAAGTATAGAAAAGTCCGATAAGCTGATTTGCATACCTTATTTTGTATTAAAAAATAGACAAAAATTACCTCCTCCATTCCCATCGATCGTCGTCCTCGGAAAATTCGGGATGCGGCGATTCGGGCTCGAGCGGTGTCACTAAAACGATGGATTCTTCGGGCTTTCCGCTTTCTCAAGGATCTTTGCTAGCCAACCCCGTAATTCTTCGTAAGTTTTATTCGAGATTAGATGAAAGAACATGTAGTGTCAAGGTTCTGCAAATTTCGAGCTTGGAATCCTTACCGTTTCCCCCAAAACCTGCTGCTCGACGCTATCCGGGCTCGCATGCTGGGCATTTCGGGTTGAAACTGGAAATAGGGGGATTAGAGCGGGGGGAGGGGATTAAGCATTTGAAGATTCAAATTTTCGGATTAATTTTGCGATTTTTCAAGGATTAAGTTTTTGAATGAATTAAAAGTGGATGAATCAGAAACCCTTGGAAATTTGTAAATCGGCGAGAGAGAGAGAGAGAGAGAGAAGGTGAGAAAGAATGAAAGAAAGATCAGACTCCATTCAATTTTAAGAAAGCAAAGGAAACTCACCAATTCCTCGAAGGTTTCGCTATCAGCAGTGGCCTGAAAAAAATAATTTTATTCAGACGCGGTGTTTAAGGCCTAAGAGCCATTTAAATCTATTAAAATCCCGAAGTTGAGGTTTAAAATCCGTTTGATCACATTTTGTAATTAATTTGGACCAAACTCCGAAACCAGATCTCCGCAACAATTTTTATTCATGATTCAGAAACTTAATTGCTTGTTTTTCCGTGGACGTCCAAGTCGAATCCTAATTTAATGAATGACCTTAGAAACCGGATATTTTTGAGCAATTAATAATTAGCATCTGGTTCACGGGACCAATTAGACAAGATGAGACGCTGTTTCCCGGAATTCCTGGACGCCCCTGGAGTGTTCGCTCTGAATAATTCGGGGTGTACTCGAAGTGTGGTGCTTCTGGGACAAGAATAAATATCCTGGTTTTAAAGGGAAAGCGACAGAAATCATAAAACAAGGAAGGTTACCTGCTTACCTGGTTTTATGTTTTTTATTTACTTAGAAACTTCTCATTCATACCAGGGAAAAAGGTTTTTTGAGGCACGGGCCCTTTAACTTGTCAATTTTAAGAGCCCCTATATCTCAAATTGAAGTTTTTGAGAAAATCAGACTAATTCTCTCAAAGAATAAAAAAAAACGTTTTTTAAAACTGCAAAATACCTGACAAAAGTCATAAGCAAGGTCCCGAACGGGTTACGGTAGGTATGAGATTCCCGGGGCCGTAAGGCTCATTTCTAGCAACTCTAGACTCACCAAAGATACAAACAAAATAGCGAACACTGTCGACAATACAAAGGTGTTCATCTTGACGAGGGAGTCGTGGGGGACCGGAAGAAGTAGTGGCAAGTAGTCGCCCAACTAGGGCCATCTAGGGGCCACCCCCACCCCCATGAGAAAGCCACGCCCACCACCCCGGGTCTTGTACCCCATTTTTCAGGCTTCTTGGATAAAAGTTCCTTCGCTTTAAAGAGCAAAAGCAATCAGCTGTTGGGAAAAGTGTTCATCTGCTGTACGACGGCGGAATTGAGCAAGTTCCGGGTTCATGAGGCTTTTTGGGGAACCACCATCGTGATTCGGCCTGAAATCGTCCTTTTTAGTAAATTTTGGGGTTGGAACTGATTGTCAAGTGGTTAAATTTGCTATATTGAAAGTTTAGCTTTTGAATGTATGTTCACACAAAACACAAACATATTTTAGCGGATTTTCGGCAGGTACGGTATCTCATGACGCTACGGTAGGTGCCAAAAACGTGCAAATTTATGAGCTGCCCCTATGGAAAAGATTCCAAAATCATGTCAGACGCCAGTTTCTACATCTGCAAGTACGAATTTTGATAGACCTTTCATTAGTGCATAAACTTGAGGTAGATCGGACATTTTCCGAACCATCTGTGACCCCAATCTCCAGGGGCTCTTCCCCGCACCGCGCCCAACCTGGTCCACTCCCGTTTCCATATGAGGCATCAGTGAGATTTTTGTATGAACTAACAAAACTTCCTACCGATCACTTTCTATTGGCAGATGGAATGTGATCGGGGTGCCGTGGCATTGGTATGGCCCTGGCTAATTTTTGGGAGCACCTCCCTGTGAGGTGCTGCAGTTTGAAGGGACATGGCAGGAAAATTCCACAATTGCTTGACGTCCAGAAATTTTTTAAATTAATTTTAAGCCACATTTCAACTTTAGAATACATCCTACGCAGATGAATATAGCAGCAAGAGGCTAAAGGAAGAAGAAAGGATTTTCATACTTTCTGAAACTTTTTTCCTATTTTAGTAGTTCCAATTTTTGCCAGAAAGCTGTCTGAATGTCAAATTTGCGTATGTTTCAACTCGGACCGTGTATCCTGCCCCCTTCATGTTTTTTCCGCATACTGAAAACACAGAAAGTCAGCTAACGATGTATAGGAGGAAACACACTGAGACATTGCCCCCCGAGAGGTGCAAAATTGCGAGTAAAAAAATTAAAATTAGTGCTGCAAACCTCAAGGTCCTTCGATTTGTGTATTTGGTACTATTGAAGTTGGGGGGGGGGCAAAATTTTTTTTGCGGCCAATTTTCGTCATTCTCGGCTATTTTGTTCAGTTTTTAATGCTGAATTGAATACAAGTATTTTTAAAATTATTGGATTCGTTTTTCGGAATATTTTAGCAACATTTTTAATAGTAGTTTTATCATCGGGTTTTCGGGCGGTATACAGTAATGATGCCTAAAAGACACTCGATAGAGGTATAAAAGGCAACGTGGAGCGTTCAAAGTTTACTTTTCGCATTTAACTTGGCCAACACCATGGCCAACTCAATCGACGCGTTGCGCGACATAACCCTGCTCGAGCTCATGCCGAAAATCCACAAGTCAGACAAGGAACTTGAGGATTGGTCGCACGTCACGGAGGTTTATCCCTGCGAGTGAAAGTTGTTATGCTATTTTGTTGACCTAATTGTTACGTTGTTATTATCAAATAAATTTAAAAATAGTTGCATTCGATTCAGCATTAAAAACTGAACAAAATAGTCGAGAATGACGAAAATTGGCCCCAAAAAATTTTGCCCCCCCAACTTCAATAGTACCGTGTATTTTGCTTTAATTGACGGTTTTTTACATGGATTTCTACTGTAGCAATTATTCAAAAAAAATTGTGTGACGAATGGCGAAATTATGGTTTTTGGCTTCTCTGATTCTCTGAGGGAAAAGTTGTCCTTTTAAGGTCGGTCGTTGTTTTCGATTTCTCACATAGAATTTTATTATTTACAGGCACCCATATTCAAAAACATCGAAAAATCGCCAAGCGAGGATAGGGTACAATTGTTCGATGCAAGGCAAATTTTAAAAAATCACAAAATCGCTGTCATTTTGGACCCTGCGTAGCATAGGGTACGGGGAAGTAAAAAACGGCTCGATACCAGTAAAAATCGAAATTAAAAAGATTACAAAAAAGCTAAAAACAACTACACAATTTCTATGAGCTTGGACTCAACAGCGGGGACGACGGTGACTAGGGGAGCTTTGTCATCGACTACTTCCTCCGCTTCAGATGATTCGGTGGCTTCCTCGACTACCTGGAATTAGCGGCATTTAAAAATCCTTATTCTACTGATTTAATCTGCTAATTTTATTTTATTACATATTTTTTAAAAATTTTGGAAAAATTTGAAAATTCGAATTAAGCTATTCTTGCACGGAATCAGGAATTTTTCAGAATTACAAACTACAAATCGCTAGGATTCCTTCGTATTTTATAAGGTGAGTTGAACCTCGATTTTCGATTCAAAAGCTCATTATTATTTTCCTAGTACGACTAGTTTTTGCGTTAGACATGCAGCCTTCGCCACATCCAATTTGAGCCCGCCGGCTTCCCCTAGCTTTTCCACCTGTGCCCCCGTGACATTAGGGGTGATTGGCTTTGCCTTGCCATTCCCGGGATGATCCGCATCACAGACGACAAATTTATTTTTGGGCCGTTGTGGGCAGGTGGAGAAAATGCTAGAGTAGCAAGGGGGAAAGTGGGAAGGTTACCTGGCTGGATGCGGAAGGAGTTTGAGGGCTAATGAGTGCTAATAAAATGACGGGAAGTTGTTTTGTAATGAGGAGAGTGTAGCGCAGAAAATTTTGTGAGTAAAAAGGCAATAAAGGGCCTAAAATCTATACTTATTCATATCATAAAATTACATTTGTTCAAAGAAAAAATTGTTTTGATCATTTTTCCTAAAGAACCGTCAACCCACTTCTAGTCAATGCTGCTTCCTCCCTGTCGATGCTCTTGGGCCAAGCTTGAAGCAGTAGATGTTCAAATGATGGCAGAACTGCCGTGTCACATATGTACAGAAGATGGCCAACGAGATGTGGACGTAGATCTGAAAAAATTGAATGAATAGAAATTTAGCGGAAAATTTAATCCACTTTGTTGTGGACTTGACGAACTTGATGAAGAGAAAACCAAATTGGCAAAATTTGGTTAATTTCATGAAAATTTTTGTCTGAAGTATTTTTCTTCAAATCGTTTTTGCAAAAAGACACTTAGAATTGGGAAATCAAACACTGTGCGCACACGAAACAACAAATTGCGCCCCCTCTTGGGCACACTAAAAACAAGTTCTGATGCATAGCAAAGAAGTCAAGGCGTATTCGGTGTTTTCCGTGTTCCACGTATATTCTAATGAGGTTAAGCGCTACGGGGAGAAAGTTGTGGATTTGCTAGGAAAAATATTTTGATGGTTGTGGAAAGTTGCGAGCGTGATGATGATGCTTGGGATGAAAATGAAGAGCACAAAAGTTCTATTGAATGGGGCCGGCAAGGTACTATGGAATTTTCCGGAAAATTAGCTCACTGTAGCAACGATCAGCAAATGGTACTCGTTGATAGGGCAGTCATAATACTGGTTCAGAATCATCGCGATTGGCGCCAAGTAGGCCCAATCCCAAAGCGGAAGTTCGCTTTTCGACATATGGGCGATGACAAGTCGGTTTGTGGTTTTAGAACCTGAAAATGATTTCTTACGAACATTCCCTTCTTCACCTCTTCTCTCCCTCTCTCCTTCTCTCTCTCTCTCTCTCTCTCTCTCTCTCTCTCTCTCTCTCTTTCTCTCTCTGTCTGTACTTCTCTCTCTCTCTCTCTCTCTCTCTCTCTCTCCCTCTCTCTCTGTATCTCTCTCTCTCTCTCTCTCTTTCTCTCTATGCCTAAAATTCTGAACTTACCAACAGCTCCAAAGCACAAAATAAACAGCGTTACATGCACGTCGTAGACGGAAGTGGTGGCTTTGCTAAATAAGATTAGAAATTGGACAACTTCGACTTATGCTAACCTGTAAATCATAGCAAATGGCAGTAGTACCATCAGAAGTGGTAGAAGTGGGAAAAGGACGGAGGTTCCCTAAAAACCGGCGCATCGTTTTCAAAACTGGTCGTTGTTCAGAACATTGATCTCTCGAAGACTTATACTATCACTAACAATCTAGAGTATCTACTTCAAGTTTTCGAGGAATCTGTGTTGCCAAGAGTCCTCCGAATTTTTTTCAAAACTCACCGCCACCGTACTCCCATTCTTCCCAACACCTCCACCAAGAATCGTCTTGGCATAGCCTCCGATTTGTACGATTGACATTATCAAGGAGCCGCCAACGACAAGGTATCGGAGTTGCAGTCCGAAGATCTAGAAAAACATGAGTAAGCAAAGCAAGCACATCGCAAAGTAAGCTTACAATATTCGCAGACCAGGTTCCGGCTCCAAAAATCCCAGTAAAGACGAGGACCGAGATCACCATCCATTGGGCTTCGGTAACGTCGAATCTACAAAAACAAATTTGCTCGCTGATTTCCAGAACGGTGGGTCTAAAGGGATGGCGACAGGAAGGAAAGCTGGGGCGTCAAGACCGACACTACTGACTTTGAAAAGCGAAGCTGCCCTGTACAATAAGTGCTCCAGTGCGCCGCGTAGAACATGATGATCGAGACCACCGAGATGGCAAAGACACCATTAGGGACGGCACCCAGCGTCATCGCGTAGCAAATGTTGAGCGTGACGAACACTAAAAAAAGGCATTAATTTTGTCGTCTCGACCTTCAAAAACGTACCCTGAGATGCTGAATCGCACCCGTGGTCAAAAAGCTCGCCAAGCGGAGACGAACTACCCGTTCTTCTAGCTTGCTTCCCGTCGATGGCGTCGAGGGTCTGCAAGTTTAGCCGTTAGAAAAAGGGTCGAAATCAGGCGGCTTCCGCTTCCAGAAGCCTGTCAAAAAGCGCATCTCCGACCCCGGAAATTAAAGTATGTACCAACCTGATACAAAAACAGCCCGAGGGCGGCTTGGAAGTACACCCAGGATGGGGCCTAGAAATATGGTAATTTAGTGGGAGAGAGAGCATGAGAAAGCTAGAGAGAGAGGGGGAGAGAGAGGGGGAAAGACAGAGAGAGATGGTGAGGGAAGCGAGAGAGCGCGAGAGAGATCCAAAACTCACCGACTCCGTCGCCGTCGGGCAGTAGAAAGACAAAACGAGTACTGTACATAAATTGATGATCAACCCGACGAGCGTGATCAAATTTGGGGCCACCCACATCGGGCAGAATGTGACGACTTTGTCCCAGAATCTGAATAGCTTATTGTAAAAGCACAGGGCTCTTTAAAGCCGAATTTATTTTTTTTGTAAGATTTGCCAAGCTGGAAGTGGCTCAAATACGCGATTAATGTAGGTGCATAACTCACTTTTTCATACACAATTCATCAAGCCATGAAGTATCAACTGCCGAATATTTATGCTCTCCCAGCCGCTTCATCTGCTCTTTCGGGACTATACAATCGGAAATCAGGTACGATTCCCATATTCGATCGGCCATCTAGAAGAAATGTCACTTTCATTTTTAGGAGCCAAATCACTTGAAAAAAGGGATATAAAAACGCGATTTGCAAAAATTCACAAATCAAATTCCCAAATTAAATTAAATTGAAATATCAACAATAAAAGGCTGTAAAGTAGCTAATTTTTTAGGTTCATTTGGCTTCTGAAAGCAGTAAGTTCAACCCGGGGTCAAAATAAAATCACGCGACTGAAATCTCGAAACCCGAAAAGCGGGAAAACGCTGGGACGGCTGGTGACGGCTGTGGTTCAGTGATAAGCCGATATGATCGGGCTAGAGACTGTAGTCTTTCTGGGTATTTTGTTTAATAAAAAGTGACTTAATAAATAGAAGAAATCGGTGAGCATTATTCGTGTATCTTTAGATTAGGTAATAGCCTTTTAAAAGTCGGCTTGAACTGCGCTTGAAAATGTCTACAAAAATCCGCAAAAAACCTTAGTGAAATGGTCTAAATGGAACCATTTAAAGCACAATTTTTCAGGACCTTGATAGGTACCTGAAAAGTAGGTGGATGGCCAACGCCAGTCAAAAAGACGGGATTTATGAATCAGAAAAAATCCAATACGTTAAAAGTTTCGAAATTATATGAAAAAGGTATAATCCTGAGCACAAAACATTCTCTAGTCTCGTGTTATTCCTTGCCAGCACTATTCCTGCTCCCTGGAACGACTGATATCACCCCCGAGGCCACCAGCTGGTGCGTACAGGCCGCTACCACACACACGGGGTGTCGTTGACAAGACGGAAAAAGGGTACGATTTGCTCTCACACGCTCTCTCTCACTCTTGCTCTTTCTCTCTACCTCCCTCTCTCTCCCTCTCTTTCTCGCTCTCTATCGCTGTAGTTTTTGATGCCCGGGGTGCATCCATCTATCTATATCTCCCTATCCACCTCTCTCACGCCCTTGAGAAAACACGTGCGGAGGGCTAGACACGGCTGGTTGGCTGCTGCGCCCGGAACACAATGGATCGATTTTGTTTTGGCTTCGGCCTTGGCGCGTGCAAATATTTTTGAGATCTTGAGAAGGTGGGTGAGAAGGTTGGACAATGGGTAATCGGGTTGTTTTAATGATTTCAACTAGTTGGTACGATTTTGTAGTCTTAGGTTTGTATGCAAATTTCAGCCGGATCTAAAAAAATCTCGAGATCTGTAGAAGTGGAAAAAGGCGCAAAAAGCTAAAGTCAAGGAAAAGGCTAAAAACGCCCCTATGCACCAAGATCAAACTTGGAGTGTTTGGAATCAGAAAAATTTGTAGATTTTGGGTGTTAAGGGACAGAGAAACCAGTCCTTGTTCAATACGCAAAAATTACAATAGTAAATAGTAAATTAGGTAAATAAAGCTTGCATTCATATAATTTGAACTTATTAGTCATATAAGCGGTCTTCGCTTCCCGGATTCGAAAAATCAAAAGCCAGAAAAAATTCTGGACGAAATATCACGTAAAACTTGAAAGTTGAACAATGTGTTCGCGCACTAATAGTACTTGTTTCGACACCAACACCCAAAGAAAAAGAGCGTAAACTAGTCGTTAACGTGCTGCCAGAGAAACAGCAGCCTGGCGATCATGCCATTCGATTGCCCTTCCGACCCCGCCCGAGACAACGACCTCGTTTTGCTAGTGGAGACACACAGGAAATGCTCGTGCTTTGTGGCGGGCCTTTAGCGAGAGAGACAGAGAAAGAGAGAGGAGAGAGAGAGAGAGAGAGAGAGAGAAAAGTTGAGGAAAATTAATTCTTAAGGTAGCACAAGATCTAGAGCGAGAAAAATAAGGGCAAATTTTGGGCATGGAAACCGAGGAAAAGCTTGCTAGTTGCTGATTTCCGGTCACACGGCATCAAGCTGCTTAATTTCCGGATTTTGCGCCGGGAGCGTGAAACAGCAAGCATGGAGTAAAAAAAAGTAAGAAAGTAAAAAAGTAAAAAATAAGAAAATCGTAAAATTCTGAATTCCGCATTTTGGACAATTTTAAATATAGTCGGATAACTAGGAAAATTACGGCATTCAAGAAAAAAAGGAAAAGGAGATAATAGAAAACGGCAAAAATATAAATAGATGGAAAATGCAGCATCCTTTGAATTTTTCGTCAGATAGAACTATTGATAAAATATAGATCGTTTAATAGCCGAGCCTGCTCTATCAAAATTTGCCATTTTTAGGATGTTATCACCCTGAAAAACCTGGCCAGGCGCCAAAAGCTTGCCATCGTGCCTCTTTCCCTCGATTCATGCCACTGCCCGCTTTGCCCTTGTGTTTGTTTAGTCGAATTCCCCGAAAGAGAGTCACAAAAGCGAACCAAAAAATTGGGCGATGGCGCGAGGTCAGACACGGAAACCATCGCATGACATTGATTTTCACAACCTCGACACGTTTGAAATGCCATGGTGTGGCTTGAGTCACTACGTAAATAACGTGGTTTTGTTGGTTTTTGGCTTTTTTCTGAGGAGTTTGACTTTTCCTAGACCTAACAGTTAACGGTTTTTCTTGTAAAATTCAAAGATGGTTTTGCCACACTTAAATTAATCTTTTAAGCGTTTTTGAAGCTGATAATCAAAGCTTGATGCTCTGATAATCTTTTTTAGCAAATTTTGCAACCTAATCGTCAACATCCGGTAAAAAAGGGAATTTTAGCTTGTCTTTAAATAAGACTTCATTTTATGGAAAGGAAAAGCAAAAAAAAACAGATGTAAAACTATCACTAATCGAGGCCACTGATCCCATGCCATCTTTGGAACATTGCCAACCCTCGGAAAGTCATCAAAAGTACAGCAAAACAAGGGGATTTGGCGAGAAAAGTCATCAAAAAGGCACAAAACAGCACGATAAATCAATCTTTTACAAAAAAATAAACACTGTAATTAAGCTGAAGCTACACAAAATGTCCGAAGGAATGTTAAAGTTCGAAAAGAAGTTTTCACGAGGAAAATGCCAAAAATAGCTCGCTGATCGTAATATAAAATGAAATCGACAGGGGAATAATAAAAAGCAACTTTTCCATGCATTTAAAGATATTTCCTATGGCGTTCGCGAGTTCAATTTTCGATCGCCCAAAAAAATGTGGCCTCGCCCTGAAAAATGGGCCGATTTTGGCCGGGGCGCCGGCGCCAAATCCTTTTCCGCTTTTTCAGGGTGACGGTCAGCTGCCGGGGGTCGAGACCTGGAAGTCTGGCGAGGGAGGAGGAAAAAAATTGGGACGGCAAATACTCGAGGGCATAGGTCGGCCCAGGGGACGCTTAACAAATGGGGCGCTTGGGAGCGTTGTTGGGAAAGCGTGGACAATGCCTAGGGGCACATCGGATAGGGAAGCTAGCAGAGATTGCTTAAGACCAGAAAAAAAGACACAAACTAGCTGTAAATCAGTTTTTATAGTTAGTCATATCTAGTTTTCTGAGCTAAAATGCACTAATCATTTGAATCCGGGGGGTCGCGTGTCCGTGTGTCACGCCATTTGGTGCACATTTTTAGGTCACACCACGCTCGGTGAAATCTTGAGGGGGGGAACCGTCCTGATAAAGCCTGTAGGGGGCTGAAAAGGCAACAGGGCACCCGGGCCGGAATCGGACGGTCGAAAGGGCATGGGTCAGATTGGGGGTCAAGGTATAGGCTTAAACTTTAAAGGGATCTGCAAGGCATAAATCCATTCGTCTTTAGCTTCTTGTCGTTTTCACGGTAAAATATTCGCGATAAAGAATTTTTCTAACGAGTCAGAAGATGCAACTCAAGCTCGAGATAAAAATATAAACTTTATTCTATCAGAGGTTCCGCTCCAAAAATCACATTTCCGGCCGCAAACTTGCGCTTCGATTTCGGTCGCCTACGTGCAGCGTTTGATCCCCGTTTAACGAGCCGCTACGGCCGGCTACTCCGTCCTAAAATAATTTTTATGGTTTGGTAGTTGGGTCGGACTTATTTCACTCCAAAAAGCAAAACACTGTTTTATCTAGCTCGTAAATTTTGAGACTTACGTCATCTTGGAAGCGTACAATCCTCCGATTTTTCTCGGAAATTGATGGGGATCTCGAGGAGGGATTGGAGTTTGTTCTGTAAATATTTTCTTTTCCTAAAAAATCAAAAGAAGCGTAGATAAGGAATAAAATAATTTTACATTTGATGAGGTATCGTGGTACAAAAGTACTTCATTTACCTCATGGACCTGACGACATTCGAAATCTTTAGCTTATGCCATACTGATGGGACGGGGAGCTGCACAAATTTGCAGTACTTTTCGACAGTAACTGTGAAGTCAGGGACGAAGGAGAGGTTGAATTGAGCGTCTAGACTTAAAGAATTTGAGGTTTAAGGATTAGTAACCTTGAGGGGACTGGGCAATGCCGGCCTGCAGCTTCTGGAATAAGACTTCGCCCAATGAAATCCATGAGCCGGCTTGTAGGGTCATTTTGGACTGGAAAAGCGTTTATTAAATCACGGGATGACGAGGCGAAATCGATTAGGATATATTATTCGGTATACGGTTTAAAGGATATCAGATTGAACCCTTTCTTTTAGTTGGTATTCACAGCAACTAGGCCCGGGCAGAAACCAAAATTTTCCAGCCCTCAGAATTATAGTGTATTGTGTCTAGCATGCGTTATTTGAAGTGGAGCAGAATTGTCGAGACCTCTCGACTTAAGAAGTCAAGTTTGGTGCAGTTCCTTACCTTCGGGAAAAACACCGTGGCCGAGCCCTCGAGGATTACAACAGCTCTCTTGCTCGTCACCCCGTATTCATAGATCGGGATCGGTTGGCTCTCGTTGGCGATGTAAATCTGAAAACTCAGGCTTAGGCTTCATTTAGGCTCGGGCTTAGTCTAGGCTTAGACTAGGCTTAAGCTAGGCTTAAAGGCACTCACCACCCTAACATTTGTTCCGATCAGATGCTCAAGTCCTCTGGGCTCCATGAATTCCGGGCCGAAAATCGGGTGCTGATCGCGAAGATATCGGCAGAGCACACTCTAAAAAAAGACTTCTAGTAGAATTCCGACTTTCTGACTTTCCATCACCTTTAAAATGGAGAAAATCGATGACAAATTCATAATTTACGCCACAAACCTTTGTATGGATAGACAACGGCTCAGCCTGTTTTTCCTTGCCGAGGAGCTTGTGCAAGTCCAGGCTATTTTTGGCGAACCTCCGGTGCCTTTGGACGTTGTCCGTCACCTGGTCGCTCTCGTCCATGATTTCGGCCTGGCAAATTTCACTAAAATTTTTACTTGAGACCATCCTACCTGTAAAATCTCTTCAACAATATCTTCGAGTGTGATAACACCCAAGATTTCTCTGGACGGCGAAAGTTCAGACAATTCAATATCGCCCTAAAAGTCATTTTATCTCTATTTTTCGCTTGCCGATGCCTTAATTTTGGACGTAACCTAAATTTTATATCCCTACGTTTGACAGTGAATCCAAGGTAGCTTGGTAAAAGTGTTCATCATCGTCCGATCCACGTCGAATTATCGCCATGTGGTATTCTCCCTGAATTGTAGAGGATGTATCAAAGGCCAGAAAGAGAGAGAAAGAGAGTGCGAGAGAGAGAGAGAGAGAGAGAGATCACCAACCTTCTTGAACTCCTCTAACATCTCTGTCAACGGGTGATTCTCGTCGACGAATCGGAGCCGAGCTCGGTTCCCCACCGTCCCTACGGTAATGTTTGCGTTTTTGTTGACCAGTGCCAATTCCTTCACGTAGAGCAGAGATACGATCTAAAGCAGATTTACGCGATCTGATGCATAGTCGCGTCCAGTGGGTTAAGCTCTGGCGCTAAACTCACATTATTTCTATCACCGCCATCAAAAATCGGGATTCTGGAATAGCCCTTTTGTGCAATTTCGGCAATGGTAGCCGGGTTCACGACGGTATTACTTGGCAGCATATAGGTATCTTCTATCTTTGTCATAACATCCATCACCGACTTGCTGGCCAGCTCCAAGGCTCCGATGGCGATTTTCAAGTTTTCCGGATCCTAGAAGAGCCGATTTAAAAAAGATTTCAAACCGGCTAGCTTTAAAAAAATCCTTTACAAACCTTGGGCAAACTTTTTACATCGGAATCGAGAAAGTTTCATGCTTTTCAGGCCCTTGTTTTTCAAATTTCTGCTTCTACTCACCCCTTCCCTGCCGCTGCCCATTTTCATAATCTCCAGCAGCCGATTCCGATCGAATTTATCCACGTCCACCCCAACCAGCCAGTCCAAAATCTTGCTAATAGGGAAAGCAAGTGGGTAGGTGAGGGCCATGAAGAATTTGGTGAGGAAGAGTGTACGAGCACCCACGGCGAGGCCTTTTCTGAAAAAAAACGATTCTTGTATCGGCGTTTTTACGTTCTATTAGGACCTCTGAATATCGGCTTAAAGAGCTACTGGAGCCAAAATCTCTATGTGTTTCAAAACTTACTTCACACAGATACTTTGAGGACAAATTTCCCCAAAAACTACGATTCCAGCCGAGGAAACGATAAACGCGATCGTTCCAGAAGTCATATCTTCGAATAGAATCGAAATTGAAGCATTTACCTGTAATTATAGGTATCTATCATAGATGCAAAAGCAATTTACCACGACGTTCATTAACAAAATCGTACACAACAATTGGTTGCCCCTCCTTCGAATCGGAAGAATCGCCTTGGCGTATTTTTGTTCGCTGCGGGAGCCTGAAGTCTAGGGTTTGAAATTGCAAGCACAAAGGTATGTATTTAATACTATATTTAACGGTTCGATTCAATGCATGAATCTATCTTAATTACCGCATTTCATGATCAATTGCAACTCATTGATCGACAGGCTCATCAACCCCAAATTCAGCCCGGAAAACAGAGCCGACATCGAGAGCAAAAAGGCCAAGACTGAGCATTGAAGGTAGAACGGCATTATGTATTCTTTCGGAGTGACCCTGGTGGTGATATAGGTGTGGATTCCTTCGACCTAAACGTAAAAAAATAGCTAACCAGAAATAAGAAGGGTCATACCATTAACAACTCTCCAGTCGGTCCTTTTTGCTTCACACACATGCGCCATTGGTGTTTGTTTCTATAAAATAAGAGCCATGAAATCAAAACCACAAAATGACGCTCACTACAACCTCCGAATGCCCCTTCTGTAACCAATCCCCAAAAAGCAAAAAGAGTTGCCCATGGGTGGAATCGAACCACCGTCGCCACGGCCACAACGTGGAGTACTAACCACTATACTACATGGGCCGAGAGCGAGACCTCCCAGGGGGGGCTCAAGGACTGCCCGCCTCAGCCCCGCCCCTTCCCAGCCCCACGCTCCCCAGGTCGACCCACTCCGGGAATCGCCACTGCAACTCGATTCTCCGCTCGATTTGGAGCTCAAAATCCTTGTTGCTGATGTTGAATTCGGAGGTATAGCAGTTCGAATCGGTGAACGTGATGTATTCTACCTGAAAAGGAGAAATTTTGAGTAGAAAGTTTATGTTCTATGCGATTTTTGGATTTTTAGGCTTTTCATAGCTTCAAAAAAAGTTTCTGTGTGTGTAATGTAAGAGCTAAACGTATAAGAGGCAGTTTTCCACGCTTTTTCAGGCAAGATGGACAAAATAGCTTCAAAATGCTAAACTAGAGCAATTAATTAAATATACCTTCTCCAACCAGTACCCAAAAATCACGACCCGCGCCTTGACGTCGTTTTCGACAATTGTCTCGCCGAAAGGACTGAATTGCTGTATTTTATAAACATGGATTAAGCTCACGTATATCCAATGAAGGCTGGCTCCTGATTGGCTATATTTTCTATTCGGAGCCCAGAGACTTGAGGCACAATTTGAATAGTCTCAAAGAGCGACGGGTCGATGGAGCGCTTTTCCGGATCGGAATACACATCGCGTCGATGGAGCGGTAGTTTCTGGAAGGAAAAAAAGCCGCTAGAGAGCTGTACATTGCCCGATTCTACCTAAAAAAATCGAAAAATATGGTTATTTTGGCTTTTTAGATTTTTGAAATTTTCGTGAAGTATAAAAATTCGAAAATCATTTTTACTGCTAGATAAGTACGGAAAATTTGATGCAGACCATACCTGAGAAAGACTTAAAATTTGACAAAAACTTGTTTTGTGCGCGGATTCACAGTTTTCTAAGTCAGTGAGTGACAAAACTAACAACCAACATTTTACACGCTTTTTTACATCAACAATAAATCTCTCTACCTCCACAGCAGCCACCAGGGGCCATAATAACGAAATGACCAATAAAAAGCGCTTCATAAACCGGAATCGAAGTTTCAGCTGTGACGCCCGGTCCGTTGATAAGATTCGTCTGATGGCCTCCAATCAATGCCTGGCCCCTAGGTGACTCCGAGTCTGTACTGATAACGCTGTGATTTCCACTGATTTACGACGAAAATAAAGATTTATTATGTCCAGGGGAAAATAGTACCGCGATGCGAATTCACAAGGGCTGGCGATAGAGCAGAGAGGAAGAGCAAGAGGGAGCGGAGAAAGAGAGAGAGAGAGAGAAACAGAGAGAGAAAAAAGAGAGAGAGAGAGAGATTTAAGTAGAAAAACAGATAAAATCGTACGCAAAATTTTCAAAAAGATATGAGTACCAAAATAATCCAAGAACACCAATAGAATTTTGTAAAATTCAAATTTCAATATTCAAACGAACTTTAGGGGGTTTACCGGTAGCGGGGCGAATAATTTGCCTGCGTCTTTGGAGACGATCTCACAAAAAACATTTCAAATGCAAAACAAAACATTTTGGGGCAATCTTTGGATTTCGGGGGTGTTTTTGGAGGGGAGGAAGAGCAATTTCGAGAAATGAAAGTAGGGAAAAATGTTGAGAATTGATTTTGACTGGCGAGACAGTGACTGGCAACGCAAAATGACGTGTGCATAGGAAGTTGTAGAGTTAAAGAAAGATTGGTAAATCACAAAATTGGCGAATTAGATGTGTCTGAACTTGACGCTCTCGTGGGCCACCTGGGCGCCTTGGCCGTAGTAGGGACAGGGTTGCTGCCGGGTTTCTTGGATTTTAAAGACGTCGCCGAGGGCGTCGATGATGTTCTTGGCGATTTCCTGTAAAAAATAGAACCTTGGAAGGTGCAAAAGGTAAAAACTGTCATCATCCAGAGTCTCTGCAAGTTCCCAGTTCCAGAAGATGAATTTTCCAATCTTTTATCGCATCTGGGCTGATTCCCAAAGAATATCTGCTAGCTTCCCAGTGAACCCTCTCAAAGTAGGCTGCTAGCTGCCCACCTCCTAGTCTGAGTGCTAACGCATCTCTGCCAGCTACTCAGGTGTGTCTAATTCGCAGAACTTACAGCAGTGATCGCAGCAAAAACGTGGGCCATCGACTGATGCTTGTCCTGGACGGTGAAACCGAGACAGTTCCGGTCATTCATATCGTTGGTCATGCAGCCAATGTCATCAAGCTGGTAGCTCTGGAGCAGTGTCTTCTGATGCTCAGTGTTGAAGATCTAAACCTTCGTATATTTTTTAGCTTTTTATGCTTACCATGACTCCATAGATCGAGATTTCCACTTGTACGGGGGTAGTCTTGACGATGGAATTGATTTGCTTCTGAAATGGTAATTTTGAGATTGAAATGAGTGAGATTGGGAGAGAGAAAGAGAAAGAGAGAGAAGGAGAGAGAGAGGGGGGCAAAAGCGCGAGAGAGAAAGAAAGAGATAGGGCCGAGATAAATGCTTCAAGCTCCATACCTTCAACTTTTTGATGACATTAATGCACTCGTCCTCCGAGTAGATACTTTCAATACGATCAGAGCCCAGGTAATGAGCGCTGAACGTGTAGATCTGCGAGTGATGCATCGGCGGGTAGAGCGGTGGGCTCTCACTAAAATTTTAAGGATTTTAAAATGCCTAGGAGCCGTGGGAGAGTTAAAGTCTTAATCCGAGACACTCCAACTTACGGTGGAGTCATCGTCTCCTTCTTGCGCATCTGCTTCCTCCTAGCCGCCACTCCGAGGGCTTCCTCGAGCCTGGCATACTCCAGGGCTCCCAGGATTCGGTTGAAGTGGCCGGGTTTGGAGATGCCCATGTTCTAAAATTAGGTATGAAAGGTATTCGACCAAATTATTACCTTGAGTTTTTCCTCGGTCAAGTCGGCGCACTTGACGATCAGCACCTTCTTCAATCCTTCAGCGATAAAGGTGCCGATGAAGTCCGTCATACCGAGACGGGGCAGCCAATCCGAGACGTACTCGAAGGAGTCTGAAACGAAATTCTTTGGTCTCTCACTGGCTCTTTATCTATCTTTCTCTTTCTGGATCTCTCTCTCTCTCTCTCTCTTTCTCTCTTTCTCCCTTCGAACTTACTAGCAAAGTGTTCCGGTTCCGGCATATGCTTCAGGTATTTCAGCAGCGGAGCATGAAGGCGCTTATCAATTCCGGTGTCCTCAATGTTACGCTTGTTGATCGAGAGTTTCTAAAATTGGCCTTGGTTTGAAGATATTTTTTAAGAGAGTGTGTCAGTTTGAGCTTTTACATACCATATGCTCGACGCTATCGTATCCACGATCGATCAGGATTTTCCCAGCCACTACGGCTTTTTCCGCCGGGATCCCAACTATCGCACATAGCCAATCCCCGACGGTCAACTTCCGCTGGTCCACAGTTTCCATTCGAATCAGGGGGTGGCCGAAGGACTGGGCGCCCTAGAAAATAAGGTGTATTATTGGGAGGTAAAAATGATACTAGACATGGGACTTTTAATAGATCAAATGACAAAACGCAATAATCAAAGAAAACAGTCTTAGGATCCCTAGAAAATCGATCTAGGTCCTAGGCCCTATCCTATAATCCTAGGTTTTTTAGGGTTCGAAAAGAAAAATTTTAAAACTTTCCGAAGGCTCAGCAACGTGAAAATAGACGTGTGGGTCAGGACAATTCGGTTTTAAGGTGTTTTAAACAGCCTTGAAAGGTAAGAAAACGTTTGTGGACGCGCGGAACTAAAACTGAGTGACTTGCAAAGTTTAAAGCAGCCTGTAGGGTATAACGGCGGAAAAATCAATTTCTAAATGTTCTTCGCCAGCTCCCCATTGTGCAAGGATAGATATGAAACAAGATCTTTCGAAAAAACTGTAGAAAAGTGCGCCAAGACGAAAGGACATTTCTCAAAAAAAATGAGAGAATTTCTTAGAGGACGTAGGACAAAGAGCTGTGCAGTACCATATCATCATCGTCATTTTCGCCTGAAGTGGATGCTTCGAGCTCATCGGCGGAATCGGAAGCGCGTCCGGAGGACCGGGACACGGCCGTCATTCCCATTCTCGGGCGGTCCCGCAAGAAGCCTGCGACCTGGGGCTCGAAGTCGCTGGCGAATACGGATTCGCGACAGACTGCCCCTCCGAAGGAGCCAAGTATTCGCTCGATCTTGAAATTTTAATGGTTTTGTTTTGAATTCTACTTTTTTTTGCGAATTTGATCAATGTATAGTCAGTGCGTAAAGATCAAAGAGGCCAAAATGATCTACTTATATCTGAATCATACTAGTAATTGCATAATTCTAAAGCAATGGTGCAAGTGATAAAAAATTGTGGTGGTGAGTGAACTAACGCGGTGAACAGGTTGACTGAATTCTTTTTCGACTCTTGCTCGAGAACTGGACTAATTTTCCAGTTTGCATCGAATTCAGTCAACCATTGAAGCAACACACACAACATAAAACAATGAAAAGCTAACACCAACCCGATCCCATTCGGCCCTCTCGTTCAGTCGATGGTTGTTGGCAGTGGGCGGCGGGTTGTGGCGGCCGGTCTGGTCGCGAACACGCAACGCGCGCGAGTGCTTGTGGCCCATCCTAAAGAAATCAGGATTGACGTTAGAAACGGACTTAAAAGACGATAAAGACCAGATTTTTTAACTCCGGTGACAAATCATACCCTGGCGCTTTCCATTGCGTAACGAAATATGATTGTCGACAAGCTCAGTCAAGTCAAGGCTGCGTTGCGTGTCGCGCCAAGGGGCTAATTTCTGCGCATAAAAACCTAGTCGTCTTTTTTGCGCCCCCCCCCCAGCGTATGCATACCGTGCTTTTGCACTTTTGGAGAAAACGTTAGTTTCTAAAGGAATGATGAAATAGATTAGCCACGAAAAACTTATAAGAATCGCGAGCCCTGATCCCTTGTTCCAGTAGTTTGCAGCAGCATGATTCCTACTAGGAGTTTCCAAGTCTTTTGGGCTATGGCAAAGAAGAAAACGTACAAAAGCCGAACCCCAAAAAATCAATAAATATCAAACGCTATTTAAGAGAACAATAGATTGAAAATGAAAATGCAGAGAATGCCCGGAGGCAACGAGGTGTGTATGTTTTGATGACTAACCAGGCCTTTTTGCGCATAATTTATTGTATATGTCAGGCTATTTGCGAAGAGGAGCGGGTCGAGAGCAATGAATAAAAAATCAAATTGCGAAATACTCACTCGTCATTATCCTGGCGATCATTTTCCTTCTCTCTTCTTGGACTTCCAGAAGACGTAGGGGTGGTTGAGATTTGGCTGACCAGCGGCAGAGAGCTCGAGGACGCTACGGTACTTTCCGACGTGACGGACGTTCGCGAGTGGATGTTCCTCTGGAAGGAGACGTTTTAAAGGCACGGCAAGCCTAAAGTCAAACTGCACTACCAGACGGATCTTAGGTCTCTTTAAGCAGCTTTAAGATTTACTTGTCCAACCAGAGCATCGAAAATCTGGGACTGGCTCGTTAGAGGTGATGGAGGGTCCAGCATCGGTTGCTCTATCCGAATCGTTTCTGCGCTTGAAGGATTTCGACTTCGGGATGGTGTTTGGAGTGTCTAAAACGCAAAACTTGACCAAATTTCGTTAAACTTACCATAGCTGAAGCCTGGCTAAAGACGGAACTTTTGTCACTCGGGGAAAGGTCCTTCTGAAAGAATTGGGTGAACCGTGTATTTTTCACAGCATCTCTCGCTCTCTTTCTCTTGCTCACTCTCTCTCCCTCCCTCTCTCTCACTCTTTCACTCTCTCACCTCAAAATTCACAATCGTCCTCTCCGGCGACATGCTACTCTCCATAATTGAGTTTGATGTGGATCGTGTCATATCTTCAGGCATCGCTAGAGGAGCGCGACCTTCCCGATAGGTTATTCGAGGTGGGGAACTTGCTAAAAGATAAATTTCTGGCTTATGCCCTTCTGAAAACGCATTCCATTCCCATTAACCCGGAACTTCAATTCTTTGAATGAAACCGAACCAGCCGTTAAGAAAAAGCCGAAAATTGATTACCGAATCGGACACGTTTCGTGGGAGCTAAATTTTTTAGTTTTAAGGGTATCGAAGAGAGAACTTCATGTTATTTATTTAAAACGGAGCCAAAGCTAGACACGACTACAGGACGATCAAAAATCAGGAAATTTAAGGTTTGAGCGATTTTTCAGGCTGCTTTAGGCTGCTTATTACTTCCGTTTTTTAGGAAGAATTTCGAAGCTACTACAGTACCCACGACTTACATTTCCTCTCCAGCGTCGAGCAAGCGAATGTAAACGTGCTGCCTTCCCGGGTATCGAGCCCATTCTCCATCCCCAAGCTGTCTTCACGCTCCCGATCTCGATCCGCAGGCCTCGGCCATCTTGCCACAATTTTCGGCACAGCTGGGGGCTTTGACGTAGGGCCTGAATACAAATTTTCGAAGGGATTCACCTCAATCTTACCAATTTTCCGTTCTATACTCCCAGTCGAGTGGATTGAGCCCTCCCTCGGTCGCTCCAGCGTGAAGCTGATTTGCGTCGATTTTGGGGTCGGCTCCTAAAAGGCAAAAAGATTACGTAAAAGCCGAAATAAAAACCGTAAGCTGTTACTGACGCCATTCTGAACATGTTCCCCAAAAAGCAAAAAGCGTTGCCCATGGGTGGAATCGAACCACCGTCGCCACGGCCACAACGTGGAGTACTAACCACTATACTACATGGGCCAAGGGAAGGCGCGACTAGGTGGGTTTATGAGGGGCCGAGACGGCAAGGGAAGGGCCGGTACAGGGCGGTCGGCAAGACAAAGAGCTCAGGAATCGAGGCATTCGAGGGAATCGATCACACAAGGAAATTCGAGGTTATATTTTGAACCGCTTGCAAGTTCGGGTCACTATTCCTACTGCATTTTTCACTAGCCTTCCAAGCCTTTGAAAACCATTTAAAGCAGCTAATTACGCCTTCAAATCTGACGGAAGCAGATTAGGCAAGGAAATTCGGGACAAAGGCTTGGGCTGCTCAAAAGTTGGAAGCTGCATTTTTCCCCACACTTTTTATTACTATTCCAAGCCTGAAAAATCAATCAAGGCAACCAATTACGCGATGAAATCGTGAGGTCAGTTCAACGCTACCTACCTCTCGACTTGGCCCTCCATTTTCCTGAATTGCCGCAAAGGCGCTCGTCATTGGTACACGATTTCGGCTTTTTGGCGTAGGCAGGGTTTGCGTTCCATCTGACCTCGTCGCTATCCGATTTAAATTCCGAGGCGGCGGGATTGGGTGCTCCCGACATTCATGGTTCCATTGTCTAAAATGGTATCCTCTCAAATAGCAATACAATTGATTTTATGGCTTCACTATCCCTTTAAACATCATTTTTATTACTCACCGATTCTCAGGGACGTTATCATAGCAAAACCCAGGGTTAAAGGTATGGGAAGTGCCATCGTCTCTCAACACCCGATTCGCCGGCTCTGGCGGCGGCTTGTAGGTGCAGGCGTTTGGCTCGGAGGGTAAAATTGTTCCTGTAATATATTTGTCTGTATAAAGCTATGTCTTTTACCCCTCGTAGGCAACGTATTTGTCCTAACGACGCTAAAAGCGGCGGGCATCGTTTCGGGGTATCTTCTCGCACTTGCGTGCCTGGCTTTAGTATCCGGGGAGGTCACGGGAATTCTAAATACAGCTTATTTTTTTGATTTTGTTTTAAATGCTACTTTTAACGGTTTTTAGTAGTCAAAAAATGGCATTAAAATCTTGATAAATAATTCTAGGCAAGCTTCTGACCTTGGCGTTCTCCCATCATTTAACCTCGATCTCCACATGGATCCCATCGAATAATTTGTAGAACAGGGTGAGATTTCGCTTCTAAAATGACTATTTTAGGGTAGTAATTCTAATTAAAGGTATACTGCTCAATTTGATCGCGCTAGTTTTTAACCCGATTGAAACACTGCCTTGACAGTCCCTTTAAAGAACTTATCCTCAATTTCTGAACTTACACTGTATCCAAATCCTCCCTTGTCGATATCGAAATCGTCGAACCTGGGTCCAGGTCGTCCGGCCGATCCGGTCGGTCCGGAAACCGGTAAGGTGGGCTGGGGGAGGGCATCTTATAGCCATTGCGCTTCACCTCGGAAGCTAAAAAACTTTGAGTTTTCTGCGCCGAAAAAAATTAACACTACCTCGGCTAGTGCTCGGCAGTCTCCTCCAAACGATCTCCTTTGGCGAGCCATCCACCCCGGAATCATCAGAGGTATTCAGTTCGCCAAGGCTGCGGAGATAAGCTAAAAAAATAAGATAAGCTAGAACTTGGCTTTAAAAGAGTAGAGAGCACTACAAGACCATACTACATACTAGCGACAGTACGAAACCCTCACTTTTGATCAACTTCTTGCACTCCTCCATCCGCTCTCGACTTTGTATCAACTGTGTCAGTTCTACTGGCTCTTCCTGCAGATGCTCAAGGGCTTCAAGTACCGTCCTTCCAGAAGAATCCTTTATTAAGGGATCGATACCTAGAAAATATAGATTACAAGAGCGTCATCGATTGTATTACCTTCCGAAATCAAGTATTCCACTGCTGCAATCTGACCATATCTCGCTGCGACGTGTAGCGCGCTTCCTTCTTTTGTGACATAGTCAAGTTGGAAGCCGGCGAGACTATAATGTTAGTTTTGAGAGAGAGCGCGAGAGAGAGCCCGAGAGTGAGAGAGAGAGAGAGAGAGAAAATTAAGGTGCTAATAAGCGCAAGTTTTAGCGCCAAAAGAGATACAGCAATAGATATCCCGAACCCGAAAAAGGCCGAGATATCTTAGAGAGAGAGAGAGAAAGAGAGAGAGAGAGAGAGAGAGAGAGAGAGAGAGCAAGAGAACGAGAAAGAGAGAGAGAAAGGTAGAGAACGAGAGGGACACAGGCAGATATTTTAGTTTAAGACTAATTGAAGTGAAAAACCCACATCAACATCCGAATACAGTCCACATGCGAGTGCATGGCTGCCATATGAATCGGGTACACGACCCTCGGCTCGGCTAGGCTATTCTCAGCAGTAGATGAACATTCGACGGCTGACTAAAGGGACGTGTAAGCTTAGAATTCATCGGAATTCTTGATACCTGAAAAGCCAGATCCGGGCAGAAGGCGACCAGCATCTTGCAGACGTAGCCATGCCCATTACGGGCTGCCATGTCGAGCGGGGTCTCGCAGCGGGCGTTTTGGGCTTTTGGATCGGCGCCGTTCTGAAGAAAAGCGTTTTAAAGAGATGGCGACAAAAAGAGTAAACCCCAAAAATTTGACTGAAAGGTCAGAAACTCACATTAATAAGCGCTTGGACGATATTGTGATGCCCCTGCTTGGCAGCTAGGTGGAGTGAGGTTTCTTGGGCATTATTTCGGCAGTCCACAGTACTTCGATTGGCTTCGCAGAGAAGCTAAAAAATTATTTACAAGGTTTTACGAAAAGCAAGTTGTTAGAAAGGTATAGATTCTCTTAAAACCTACATTTACTACAGCTTCGTGACCATACCAAACTGCCAGATGAAGCGGCAGACAGCCCTGCTTATCCTTAGAGGTGCAAAGCTTCGCTTCATGTTCGATTAGGGTTCGGCATATTGCCTAGAAATGCCGGTGTAAAGAGAGAGAGAGAGAGAGAGAGAGAGAGAGAGAGAGTGAGAGAGAGCGATCTTCTACCTCGTATCCAAACTTCGCTGCAGTATGCAAGGCCGTCAAGTCGTTATTCTGGTCCCTGATCGTTAGCAGTCCACTTTCCCCTCCATTAGAATTAAATAGAAAATTCAGCGGGGTTCGGTGCTTTTTGTACTTCTTCCTGACGAGCCAGTTGTGCAGCTCTTCCAGATCATTCTTTCGGCAGATCTCGATCAACTCGGGGCCCCTCACGGACCCGTCCTTGACCATCGTGTGGGGGTAGGAAGAACTACCTGGAAAGTAGCACAATAATTCTGATTTTTCGAGTATTAAGAAATGATGAAAATGAGTTAAGGAGGGAGATAAGACAAAAGCGCCACAATTGACAACATTTACCATAAACTTGTCGTTTTAAAACCGATCAAGAGGTCGGAGAATATTAGAAAGAGCAAAAAAAAGAGGAAGAAATATCAAAAAGGCTAGGCCCAGCTCGATGGCTTTTTAAAGGTACTTGGAAGGCTCAGACGCGAACCCCAGTCGAGTCTGAAATCCAGAGGATTGATGAAATGTCGCAACGGAAAAATATTTTGGATCGAAATTGAGTCTCAATGGGGTGACTAACAGTTAGATATCAATGGGATCCATTGGCACGAGAAGAGCGGGTGCGCGTTGAAGAATTCGGGAAACAAGAGGTCAATTTCAGCGAAAATAGCTTCATTTCGTCAATAAAATTGATTTTTTTGAGTTTTAAAAGTATTTTCAAAATTTGAAATTTGAAAGCTAAGGTATTCTAAAGTAAGCTTTAAGCAAACTGTAAAAATGTTTAAAAACAAAAAGGTAAATGCTAACAATACAGAAAACCGTTTTTATCTTTCCAGCGGAACAGCTGGGAAAACAGCAAAACACGATACACTATAACAGCAATTGAAGACACCTAAATTAACATAATTTAATCAGCTTAAAGCCTTGGAAAAGCCCAAAATATTTCGGAAAGTTTCGCATAGCGATAATCGTGACCCCGAAATGTCCTTCGCCGCCCCGCCGCCCGCGGCAAGGTGGCAAAAATGAAAGCGAAAAAGCAAACACAAACGACCCGCCGATTTGTCAGTTGGTTGTCACACCCCGTATCAGGCTCGTGTTGCTGCGCCAACTTTTCTCCGGGCTTGAACTCGATTTTATCGAGGAGACTTTTGAGCCCACCAGTCACTCCCATGCTGGTGAACCTCAGTTTTTGAAGGCCGAGGGGCTGGGTGCTCAGAGATTGGCATCACGAGCGGGGAGGCTTTATGGGTTGGGCAATAATTTATAGGGGAACTCAGGTAAAATGAGTTTGGAAGTAAGGATCACCTGATTTCTTTGAGCAAGGGAGGATTCTATTCGTGAAATCACCCATTAAACGGAAATGAGAGTGAGAACCCTTTCGATAGAGCGAGAAACAGACAGAGCAAGAGAGAGAAAGTTGGAGCGAGAGAGAGAGAGAGAGAGAGAGAGAGAGAGAGAGAGAGAGAGAGAGAGAGGGAAAGATCGCAAGAAGAAAGTCCTGAAAAATTCCCAAATCCCCGAAAAATCGTGCCGAAGGAAGCACCCACAAAAAATTTGCTTAAAAATGCGAAAATTGCGAAATAGGAATTCAAAATCCGAGTGAGAATTAATTACTTCCCGCAAAAAATTCAGCCACTGGATCTAGGCAGAATCAAGTTTCAAAAAAAGCCTGAAATAACTGCCAAATACGTTCAAAAAACAGTATCCTTCGAAAAAATTGCAAAAAAACTTTCAAAACTGGCCCAAAATTAATTCTTTCCATCAGAAAATCAGCGCCACCGCGATCGAGATCGATTTGGGATCCCGGGGAGGATCAGCGGGGTGAACGGTCCGTTGTGTTTCCCCATTCACCATGACTCAGCCGCTTCCTTTCTCTACTTCCCTACGATGGGTCCTCTTTTCCAAGCCTTTCCCAAGTTCTATGTGTACAGAAGGAGTAGAAAGAAGAAGAAGAAGGCCACGAGGAAAGAATGGGATGCGCATCCACCTGGATCGTTGCCTCCCCTGCTTTTACTACGCATGCATACTTTCCACACCCATCAATGGAGAGGGGGATACGAACCGGTATGGTGGAGCGGGGCGGAAACGGCATAGAAAGTGGCTTGGGGCGTTCAAAAATGGAATGGTACTTTTAAAGGGAATTTGAAATTATAATTTAAAGATAATAATTTAAAGATGAATTTTTAGACATCAAGTTCTAAATAATCCTTAAAAAAAAGATGCTTTGTCAAGTGAATGCTTTTTCAAGTGACATCAAGGTGCCTTAGAAACTGGTTGAAAATGGCCTGAGGCACTTTTACCCTTTTAAAGGGAGCGCGACAACAAGGTATGCTGCACCCAGGCCCGTAGCGGAACCGAAATTTCGGGGGGGGGGGCCCAAAAATTTTGGCGACCTCGCCCCCCCGTCGTCACTTTTAAAACATCCGAAAATCGCGCCAATAATAGCGCCGCAGGCAAAAAAATAGCAAAAAAGCGTTCGCTACACTAAAATTCGTGTGAAAACAAGGCAGAAAACGCGCCGCAGGCGAAACTATTTTATGAACAATTGATTCACCAATGAAAAACCAGCGCCGCAGGGAAAAAATGTTGAAAAACAAGGCCGCATATAAGTAAAAACTGTTTGAAAAACAGTAATAAACAGCGCCGCAGGCAGAAAAATTTTTGTAACTAAAAATCATAAGGGTCCCCCCTTATGAATTTTTCAAACCTTGACCGATTTCGGGGGGCAGGCCCCTGGGCCCCCTCCTACGGGCCTGGCTGCACCTAATCTTTCTAAAAATGAATCTTTTTGAGCTTTTTAAAAATATGCTTTTAATCGGAAAAAGCAATTTTTGTGGCTTCTTTAAATGCGACTTTCGGGCACTTGTATGGGGCCAAACAGGATCCTTACGTTCGGCAAAATTTTTTTGATATTTTATTCAACTTCAAAATACCCTTTCGATAACTATTTAAAATATTTTTTAAATATTTATCTTTAAAAAACCTTTCAAATTTTAAGTGCTAACTTTAAATGTCTCAAATTACAAAACTACCGTATATGTCAAAATTTGGCATTCTTTCAACCAAGTGTACTAATCGCAAGCGGCAGTGATTCGTAACGATAGCGTGTGTGCCTCCCAGTATGTGGGCGTATGGGGCCGAGAACGATTAGCGGATTTGGCGGCTCGGCGGGACGCCAGCGGTCAGCCGACTCGTCAAAAAAGGTATCGAAACGTGGTGTAAACAATTGGGAACATCGAGAGCACAAATGTAGCCGAAATTGGTAGGAAACATGACCTAGAAAGTGGTAAGCTTTTAAGAAAACTGAAACTATCGTAAAACATGGAAATTTCCGGAATTTCCGGTCAACAAGACGTATATTGAAAATTTGCGAGGTGGCAACAATCACATTTCGTACGATTCCCACTGTCGCGGCGTGATGGCAAAACAGGGGTGGTGGGGAGAGAGAACAGCCATGGGTAGGCGAGAGATAAAATGATAGAGAGAGTGAGTGAGAGAGAGAGAGAGAGAGAGACGAGTGGAAACGGGGGGACAAAACCGGCAGCCAAAAAGGCATAAAATGGTGCGCCGCCGGCGATGGAAAAGGCCCGAGGGGAGAGCGACCATCCAGAGGCATGAGTCGGTCAGCCGGCCGACGCCATTCAAAAAGACCCTTATCGGGAAGAGTCCATCTTTTTCGGGCTCATGACTCATGCACGCCGATTGACACCTAATTCAAATTCGGTGAGAGAGAACGGGTTTTGATGAAATTTGAGTCGAATCTCGGAAAAATGAAATATATGGCAGAATTTTGGTCCCTACTACCCGCATTTAAAGGTATCAAATGCAAAACGAGAAAGAGAGAGAGGGAGAGAGAAAGCGAGAGAGAGAAAGAGAAAGAGAGAGAGAGAGAGAGAGAGAGAGAGAGAGAAAGTGAGCGAGCGAGGGAAACAGACAACCAAACACAGGGTTTTTTCAAATTTCCCTTTTGCTAAAATGCATTCCTCCATTCCTGAAATCGGAGGTATTCCTAGTAGTAAATGAGCTTCGATGAATCCTAGGCATTCCTGTCCCCAGATACATTAACTCAGACCGGGACGTTGCGAGTAATGGTGCCGGAATAAATGAGCTTTCTGCCCCCCACCCTGTCCCATTCTTCCACTTTTGAATGGGAAGAGGGGGCACCATTTACCCCGCAACGCACCACCGCAATGGGATGGATTCGGCTCGTTTTGCCTTTCCCGGGTAACACGATGCTGTGAGAAAAACGATTTCTATTTCGGTCTTTGAAGATAGCGCTAAATTCAAGCTTTATAAGGACCCCCTCGAAATCGGTCGAGGTCCGAAAAGTTCATAAGGGGGGACCCCTATGATTTTCTTAGCAAAAATTTATCTGCCTGCGGCGCTGTTTATCACTGTTTCGAAACAATTTTTACTTCTAGAAAACCTATTTTTCTAAATTTTTTTGCCTGCGGCGCTCGTTTTCATTAGTGCACCATTATTGTTGTAAAAATTTCGCTTGCGCGGGCCGTTTCCGATGTGTTTTCACACGAATTTAAGCGTTGCGAACGCGGTTTTCTAAATTTTTTCGCCTGCGGCGCTGTTATTGTCGCTATTTTCGAATGTTTTGAAAGTGGCACGGGGATAGGGGGCAGGGGGAGGTCGCCAAAAATTTTTGAGTGGGTGCCCCCACCCCGAAATCTCGGCTCCCGTACGGGCCTGGGCATGGGAAATAGTAATATTTACACAAAATTTACATAGAAAAATTACCAAAAATGCTCAGAAAAAAACAAAATAATCCCAAAAACAATAAAAACAGACGGACCGGACGTGTCTCATTTGTTCGAGTGACACTGCTGAATTGAGCCGCAGCGTAGGGGCCCAGTTTCAAGTGGCGGTCGCGTTTACACGTGGGGGGACCGCCGGAGAATCGTGGCCAGATGTGGGCCACTTCCCCGGGGCCCTAGACTTGGCTAGAGGCACTTCGCCCCCACTACCCCACCACTACCTCCGATGGGTTTTAAGCACCTTGCTCTGGGTTTGGCTCTCTCCCTCTGTCTCTCTCTCTCTCTCTCTCTCTCTCTCTCTCTCTCTCTCTCGCTCTGCCAGCTTTTGTGCCCCGAGGCTACGTCATGTTAATAATGCCCTCAAGTAGCTCCTTGCGTGAGAACGGTAAACTTTATGTTAGAGGAACGGGCTAGCGGAGGTGTAAATTCTGCAATTCCGGAGCGTCCCCAATTTTCTTTGCT